CCCCCCCCCCTCATCACCTCCTAGCGCATACACACTAAATTGTAAATAAAGAATAAATAAATATTTTTATTTAATTTGTTCATTTCCTTCATTCCGAGACAAGGGAAAGCGGGTGAGCAGTTCGGCGACGTGTGGTGCTGCAGCTGGTGACGACTCGATGACTCCTACAAACAGGACAAACTAACAATTTGACAATATTTACTGTCTTGTGTAAACTACCTCTCGGTTTAGTTAACGTGCACTAACCTGTAAGTAAATATGTATTTTGAAGTGACCTACACGTTTTTAGGTCTACCAGTTTGCAAAAAATTCTTTCGAGAGTCGTCAATGTTGCAGCTCCAATTTATTGATTTGTAACTCATCACCTGAACTCTGACAATAACTACTTACTATTTAAACAGATTTTTGTGCTTTATGAAAATGGCAACATAACATTGTGCAGGCGGCGAGCTGACGCACATTGCTCTCTCATTGGTCAAATTCATGTCGAGATGACGTCATTAGTTCAGTTTCCGCCTGCGACAAGATCCTCGTGGACTGTACGAAAATATACATATACGTTAAATTAAAATTATACTACATTTTAATTTAAAAACGCGTTTCTCCTTTTTTTTCCTATAGTGGCATATTACAGCGATAAAATAAATTATAAAGTTATCTCATCGTCGTTCAACAGAACAAGTAACCGGCTCCAAATCACACCAACAGTTAATCTTACAAATCAGTTTATTGAATAAACTAGCTGTCTCCCGTGTCTGCGTCCGGGCACATTATAAAAAGTTAAAATAGTAGCCTGCGTGGTCTTCCACACTGTTCTATAACCACGCCAAATTTCAGCGAGAATCATTTGTCCAATGAGAGAAATTGAGAATCATGTGTCCGGCTCTCTCTCTCTCTCTCTCTCGCTCTCGCTCTCACACCGCCTGAATACTAGTTCAGCGCCGATCATTTCACTTTAATGTACGACAGTTTTGGTAAAATTCAAACATATAAAGTTTTCGATTCACATTTGTGGAATTAAAGGAGTTATCGACTATAAAAATATAATCTTTATATTAAGTCTCGGGAAAGTTTCGGCGTCCCATGCAAAGTACGGTGGAGCGGCCGGGCAGCACGAGGCAGCACGAGGGGGCGCGCCGCCCGCCTCTACATGCCGTCGTTCCTGCAACACAAACGCACGCGCTGCTACATCTTGCATTCACAAAGCGACCCACCATCACAGCGATGCTCGAGAATTTTTGAAAAAAAAATAACCAATATAGCAACAAACGTGGTCATTTTCGTTCCATAAGGGCATTTACCCGCACGAGGAGGAAACGAGGAAGGAAGTACCTCGGCATGGCGCACATCTCGCAGGCGCGCAGCTCGGGCGCGTTGTGGTAGGTGCAGAGCGCGCAGGTCCAGGGTGCGAGCGTCGCCTCACCCTCACCCTCGCCCTCCGCCGCCGCGCGCGCCAGCTGCAGCAGCGTGCCGGCCTGCGGGCCCGCGCGCCACCGCTCCGCCGCCGCGCCGTCCTGCGCCCGCACCGCCTCCACCAGCGGCGCCACGCACGACAGCGACAGCGGCAGCGCCTCGTTCGTGCACAGGAACAGCAGCACGTGCAGCTCCGACATCGCCTGCACACCCACAATGCCACAATCCCACACAATATGCTCTCTGTCTTTGTCCTTGTCTCTCACTCGCAAACTTGACGGTGCGATCCTATCCTACCTCGAGGAAGGAGGGCGCGGCCTCGATGTGGCGGTGCAGGTCGCGCAGGGAGTGCAGCGCGGCGGGCGGGGCGGGCGCGGCGGGCGGGGCGGCGGGCTGGCGCGCCACGCCCACCGGCACGTCCACCAGCAGGTAGGCGACGGGCACGCGGCGCGCGGACACGCCCACCTCGTTGCCGTACGCGTCGCGCTCCTGAGACCGCATCATCGACAAGTCACACAATGATTAAGCCAGTATGTCGCGGCACAAGGAGCGGACGCGGACGACGCACCTTGTAGTAGACGTCGGGCACGTAGTGTTGGGCGCTGCAGTCGCGGATGTAGCCCAGCTCGGGCGCGTCGCGCGTCGGCAGCAGGATGCCGTCCCGCACCAGCGCCTGGCACTGCCCCGACACCTGGTACCCCTCCAGGTGCACCTGCTTCTCGCTGTCGCCTGCGCACATCCCCACATGTTACCAGCTGTCGAGTGTCGAGTACAGATGGGCAGATGTACAGCAATGCAGAAGAGGTCACCTGTGACGCAGACGGTGACGAACTTGGAGCCGAAGTACCCGGAGGAGGCGTGCCGGCACGCGTTGGGATGCAGGTTCTGGAAGTGGCCCGCAGTGATGCACTCCTGCGCGGACAGGAAGTGCGTGTCCACGCCCCTGCCGACATCACCAGCGCACCTTGCTCAGTCCGCTCACCGCTCTTACGTATTTTTGTTACCGCGTTACGATATATATTAGAAAATGTAATAAATACTATTGTCAAATTGTTTTTATTGTATTCAAGATTAACCGTAAGAAAGACGTTCAGTTGGCACACAGCTACACGACTGCTGCACGAAAGAGGGGAGAGAGAAATGACCTGAGATGGCGCACGGTGCCGGCGGCCAGGTCCTCGGGCAGCAGGTCGGTGAAGATCCAGCCGAGGCGGCGCAGGCCGAGCCGGGCCGCCAGGTCTGCCAGCAGCGCGGCGTGCGGCTCCTCGCCCACCACGATGCTGTCGCGCCCGCTCTCCTGCGGCGGCTCCCACACCGCAGTGACGCGCGCGCGTATACCTGCGCGACACATCCCCACCCATCACATATTTCAAACAATTCAAGAACAACTGTTCGCTCACAATAACCGATATACACTTGTTCATTGTCGGCATACCGAGCGGCACGTCGGGGTGGCGCTCGTAGCGGCCGTAGAGGAAGGCGAGGCGCTGGTGTCCGGTGGCGCGCCAGTAAGCCAGCAGGCGCTCCACCAGGGCGGGGCGCTGGAAGAGCACGTTGTCCACGTGCCGGTAGGGCTGGCGGTTGAGCGTGACGGCGCCGGGCTGGCAGGCGGAGCAGATGCCGCGCGGCCAGGGCGGGTGCTCCTTGCAGCCTGCGCGCACGCCCCGCACACTTACTCATTGCAGCTTTATTAAATAACACTACGACATTTACATAAAGACCGATTGCCAAACCTGGTTTGATTTTGCACGAAAGTTCATCCAAAGAAATGAATTTTCCCGATGTGATCTTGCGCAGGTAGGCGTGGAAGGACATGTGCTTGATGTTGTGCTCCCGCAGGTAGCCCTCGTCCCAGGGCTCCAGCGGCGAGCAGTGTACGCAGCACCCCTTCGAGTTGTGCCGACATCTGCGCAAACAATAACACCAAGCAAGCATTCATGTACAAATTCAAAGAGGAGAAACATTCATCAAATATTGATTTTTATATTTAAATCTTACTAATATTATAAAAGCAAATGTGTACATGAATGGATATTTGTTAAATGGTATCTAGAAAACAACTCCTTGGATCTCAATTAAATTTGGTATAGATTTAGAACATAGTCTGGAAGAACACATAGGCTACTAATTGCATTTCTTTAACTCCGTGCGGACGGAGACGCGGTCGACAGCTACAATTAAATAAATATTAATAGGAAGTTTACATTACTGTAAAATACTTCTACTGTAAATTTCTATAAAAGAATAACGGATTGTGGAGCAGTCCTAAATAATAGAGTACAGTTACACAAAACTCTTAGTAATGCAATGCGTACTGTGACAACAAGTCATTTTCCCACACAAAATAACCAAATGGATACATGTTAGTAATATTACAAATGCAAATGTTTGGATTCAGCGGAAATTTGGTATTCATGTGAAAAAAGACTGGAAGAACACATAAGCTGCTAGTTAACCTTTTTTAATAGCAGGCAGATAGTCTAGTTATCAAATAAAATGTTGAAACTTACAATTTGTCATCTCGCTCTCTCTGGATGGCACCCGAAAGTTTGTACAGCTCCAAATCCACTTCATCCTCTTCAGGCTTGAGGACGGTCACAGGCGCACTTGAGGCGGAGGGACCCGCGCCCACCGGCTCCCCTGATGGCTTGTTGTTATCCTACACAACTTATTTAAATCAACACATGACTAATAAGATTAAGATTTAAAAGGCAGTTTGCATATTTCTTTGTGAAGGCTTGTATAGGCCATAACCCGGTGGTTTGCACATTTCTGACAGGAATAATATAAGTAATAGAAGTCAGAGGTTCTCTTCCAACTTCTACACCAACTAACCACCCTAGCCTAGAGTGGATTAATTCACTTGAAAAAAAAGTTTGAATTTCTAAGTTATGTGCAGGTGAATAGAAATGTTATAAGTTCTGAAAAAAAAGCATACCTCTGCACTTGTGGATGGCTGGTCAAATAACACTGCACCATTCACCGGGTTTAGGTACAACATGTCGCCGTGCTGTAAGCCATATTCACGAAGTTGATGCGATTTGCTAGAAATAATCTCCTCTTTGCGCTGGCGGTCGCGGTACAGGGAAAATCCATAGGTATTAAGGCGTAAGATTTCATAGACTCGTTCATATAACCGCGACGTAACATCTGTGTCCAGCACCTCAATGCGCGAGGTGCCTTCCGGCGACTGGACTCGCAGCGTCTGAAAATCACAATACAACGTAAGCATCGTCAGCTTGACCAGAAATGATTACGGTCTCGGTTTCAGTCTGTACCGACTTAAACTGCTGAGTCACTGAGGAAACAAAATCAAATTACTGTCACAAGAAAATCTTTTTCTTAAGAATTTCTACCAAAAATACAATCATTACCTATTCGACGTAAATTTAAAATTATAAAACAATTTTCAAAATTCTTATTAGATTGGCGACACCACAATTTTTATATAATAAGTTATATGGGTATGTTATGTGATTGAAGTATTGAACAACAAACCAATATTAATTGATTTGATTTAAATAACTAATTACCATCTTTTTAGATCCTGACATTCTATTTAGTAAATTACTATACATACACCACAGCAATACAAACTAAACTGACATCTGACATATATTATTATTATGGTGTTGATGACAATGACTTGACAATGACATGACTTAACAAAATCCAGTCAATTATACGTTCATAATTTATGGTTTTTTTCACTTAAAAGATTATTTCTGTACAATAACGTAAAATTAATAACATATTAGGTTTTAGAAATGATAATACAGAAGCATTTTTTTTGAATTAGGTATGACTTTTACGTCAACTATGATCGCAAACTTAATGAGTTTACAAAAACAACATACAATATCTAAATCACTTAAAGTTATATATTTAAAAAGAATAGATACGATAGTAAAACCAATTATTAATTAGAAAAATAATTAACTTTAATAAGGATGTAATAAATTTCTATTAATTTATAAAACGAAATGTCTGGAATGACAGCAAAATAACAATGTGTCAATGTCAAACTAGCTGAATATCAAAAACGCTTTTTTATAGATAGTTTTAGAACTATGAATGACTAAAAAAATGAAAGGAATAGAAATATAAGCTATTTTTATTTCTGTAGTTCGGCAGCGGTTTTCTTTGCGTGGGAATTTCGAATTCAAACCTCGGTACTACTCCTTTCTTCGCGTAGTCAGGTAAGAATATTTCTATAAAAAATGTTTAATATATTTTCTAGAAGAGCGTTCTAAAATAAAATATAAATCAATCTAATATAAAATGAAATAAATTAAAGAATCTTAGTGTGAAATGAAGTGTATAGTTCGATTAAGTTATAAAATTGTGTGCGTCAAGCAGCAATAGGGTGGATCTAGCTAGCGATGACGGTGTTAAAGGGTGGTGGCTTAGGCGTAGTGATAGTAATATGGTGGCCGGCGGAGCACTGCACAGTGCCTCGAATCGTCGAATGCATCTTTTGGTTATTGTAGAAAATATGTACCTATGACATTCATTCAATTTCAATATGCACCTGAAATAGAGCTAAACACATACAAAATCAAAACTGTGTCAGTTATATAAATTCCGAGCAATATTATAACATTTAATGGCGCATGAAAAAGTGGCGCATAGTGAATTTAAATTTAATTGTTAATGTTAATTGTTTTGAATTGCCACTTGTAAATTATAATACTATTATTATTTTGTCAATATTTTAGTCAGTGATGGTTTATTTTCATATCAATTGTATATTGTGTGTTGAATATTGTATTTCCTAAAGCACACTATGTTAACAAATTAAATTGGGTGCAAGGGTTTGTGTAGGTGCAATGTTGAATCACAACTAGCTTCAATGTTTTCTCACATTTATCAATCCAAGTGCTCACTTGTTATTTGTCCCTTGTTCATATGATAACAAATTTCACTTCCACTGTGCAATCTCTTATTTTTTTTGCTTTTACTTCAATATATATCTTAACATAGGCATTAGAATAACACTATTTATAAATGTTAAAATTAAAGTCAGTTTGACTGCGCTATGTATTGTATTGAGAAAAATATTTTGTAAAATACTACCTGTCGCCAGCGACCCAGTCTGTACGGAATTAAAAAAAAAACTTAAAGTGGCCTATGTGTTCTTCCCCACTTTGCTCTACATCTATGCCAAATTTCAGCAAGATCCTTTTAGCTGTTCCGGATATACCTACAAACAAACATCCATCTGTCCATTCATCCTTCTGTGTGAACATTATAATATTAGGAGGACATCATGTCTTCAAAATGTTACTTAAAGGTTTTTGTTGTATTATTGTCCAATCTTTCCAAAAAAATTTGTGTTTAAAATATCAAGCTGTCCATCCTTTTCATATGAAAAGATTCATTGATAATGATTTTTTTTTTTGTAGTTACAGAATTGTTGTAAATAGTTGATAGAAACATCACAAGTAGTAACAAGTATGGCAGCCGAGGGGGAAGGTTCGCCTGTCGAACTTTATGTGTACGACCTGACTCACGGCCTGGCTGCGCTGCTCTCTCCTTCTATTCTAGGTCACACTCTTACTCTTGTTTACCTATTTGCCCTCCAAATACGATGTATTTTTACTATAAACTAGCTCTTGCTCGCGACTTCGTCAGCGTGAGATAAATAAAAAAATTAAAAAATGTACTTAAATACATTAAGTATGCGACAATTGATATTTTTCTATATTACATTAAGATGGTTATATTTTATTAATAACTGTATAGATATGTTAGGTCTTATTGTTATGTTATGGCGGGCTCGGGTTACGCAGGTGCGGCACGCGGCACGCGGCACGCGGCAGACGGCGCGCGCCCGCGACACATCGCCGCTCTAGCTTTGTGCCACTTTTCCTGTTCTGTTTTTATCCAATGCTAATTTTACACAGTTTATTTCTTTCTATACGCAGTATGTTTACGAGCGATAACATTTTTAGTTGCATTACTACGTGCTTGCGCTCTACTTGAACCTTACTCTATCTCATAAATTAACATATGTATGAAGGAAAAGGAATTTCAAATTCATCACTTTTAAGTGATTTGATGAAACATTTTTATATGTCTATGATTCCGCGCATACAAAGTCGTGGGTAACAGCTAGTGCTAGTGCTACCTAGATAAAACATTACTGTTAATTAATTGATAAAGTAGAAAAAGGCGATGTAACAGTGGAGGCGTGTGTGGTGTGCAGGGCGGCAGGTGGCGGGCGTGTGGCACACGGCGGTGGTGGTCTTCGGGCGGGAGTACTTCTACGGCAGCGGCGGCATCACGCAGTGCGCGCCGGTCAGTCGCCTGCAGCGATCGCTCGCTCCTTAATTTGTTATTGAAAAATAATGAATGTTACAATGCAAACTACACTTCCATACGATTTGAAAAACTTTCAGGGAATTCAATAATATTAATATCGATAACCCCGTACAAGATAGAGCTTGGAAGTATTTAGGTAACTTTACTAGATTAGTGGCCTGCCATTAGTCTAATTCGACTATACATAACCAAATAGTTTTACGCACGTTCATCAGTTCGCGCATATATAAAGATCGCGGCATAAGTCACATGTTGTTTCGCTCTATTAGAAATTAAATTAATTTAACTTTTGAAATGAAATGTGAAATGCGACTTGCACGAGTACATTTATTTATATATATAGTTGTAGTGTAATGCGACGGACGATCATTAGGTATTGCGCGTTATTTATTTTCATACCGGATTCCAATCAAAACCCCAGTCTATAGACAATTGACAATCTATGATTCACGAATTGTATTGGAATGTGGTATATACTTTCATTTATTTATTAACAAATTAGAAACAGATAAAGAGCGATTTTAAGTTCGCAAGTAAAAGCCGTTTTCAATAATGTCATGGGTCATGCGACGGAATGCGGCGGAGCAGGGCGGCACGGAGCTGGGCGCGCCGCACCAGGTGTTGCGGCTGGGCAGCACGTTCGTGTCGCGGCCCGTGTTCGCCGACTACCTGCGCGGTCTGGCCGCCACGACCTACACGTCAGTACCTACCTACCTGCGTTGCCTGCCATTCTAACTATCTATTGACAAGTTCCTAAAAAATAATAGCATCGATAATAACGTTCCTTTTTAATCGCTTTTCTAAAAAAGCAAACAAAAATGGTCGTCGTGAGATAACCGTAGAATGTCTCTTATATCTCCATATGCTTCGGCTGACTTTTGCGTAATTTTGTAAATCTACAGTTCCTATAGAAACGGTAAAGGTTAATTGTGACGGGTGTGCGTGCTTGTGTGTGCAGCGGCGCGGCGTACCGGCTGCTGGAACACAACTGCAACCACTTCAGCGACGAGGTGGCGCAGTTCCTGTGCGACGCGCGCGTGCCCCAGCACATCGTCGCGCAGCCCGAGCGCGACCTGCCGCCCCCGCTGCGCTCCGCCCTCGCCGCGCTGCTGGAGCGCGCGCTGCCAGCCCCCGCCCCCGACACCTCCCCCGTCAGTACACGCACGTGTCTCGCTAGCGCTTACAAAAACTTTAAGTCTTTAAACTTAGAGTGCCGAAAAAGTTCAACACGAAGCTTTTAAACAGGTTTCGTAACATCATAACGAATAACAACCCTTGCAAAGCATGTTTAATATCAATGTTAGAAGCGAGCCTCGCGCCTCGGGAGGCGCACAGGTAGCAGAGTAAAGTTAGCGTCCTCCGTGTGTGCAGGCTGCGTATACGAACGGCGCGCGCGCCGGCCGCGAGGACAGCCCCGACTACCTCACGCTCAACAACCAGATCGAGGAGGCCAGGTGAGCAGCTGGCCTCGCACCTCACGCAGACGGCGACGTGTGCGCGAGGTGCGAGGTGCAAGGCGCGGTGTGTGCGCAGCGTGTGCGGGCGCGGCGCGGCGCTGGTGGCGGAGGCGGCGCGCGGGGCGGTGCGGGCGGCGGCGCTGTGGCGCGACATGCGGCGGCGCCTCCCTCCCCCGCCACCGCCTCCGCCCCCGCCGGGACCCTTCTGACGCACAGTTTCTATTCCTCTCATTTTTTTGTCAATAATAAATATTATTAATCTATTATTACGAGTTTATTGTGAGTGAGTGCCGAGTGCCGAGTGCCGAGTGTTTACATTGACCCCATGTTTATGTTACATCGTCTCGGCGCACTAACCTATCTGGCTCATCGGGATAAAGCTGGCTGGACCGCGATTAGTCACGCTTAAAGTATAGGCTTAAGAAAATATTTTTTTCTAGGAATATAAAAGTATTTTTTGTCGCGTTTTTCGAGCAATGAATTTGAAAGTAATTTACCTCTCCTCATACCTGCGGAGATCGTGTCGAGATACGAGAACAGTACGATAGTACCGAGTACAACAGTTCGGAGAAAATAAAAAAGTTGTAAGATATGATAAGATATGACATTTAGTTGGTAGTAAAAGGTGGTGTAATGTAGTAAGTGATGGGCAAATGATGTACGGTGCGTGCGGTGCGTGCGGTGCGCGCGGTGCGTGGCGCGCGGCGCGATGTCGGCAGGCTGCAGTCGCACCAGCTGGAGCAGCGGCGCTCCACGCTCGCCGAGAAGCTGGCCCGCACGCAGCGCCGCCAGGAGCGCCGCCAGGACCGCCGTCAGGACCGCCGCGCTCGTCCCCACCACCACCACCACCACCAGGGTCAGTCTCTGTACATTTACCTACTTACTATACTTAACATAACAAAAGGTCACCTTACACATTGTAATATCATTTAGGTGCGCTGCGGCGATGGATACAAATTATTGTGAGCACACTGTCTAGTATTTTTTCCTAATTTTCTTACCTCGATCTGACCCGACTGTCTGCTAACACGCAATATGTCGCCGTCCGACAGGGAATGCTGCTGTTTTCTATTGACGAAATAATTCTTTTGAATTGTTTAGTAAAATCATTTTATGTTTCTATCTTTTGACATTATTAGTTGGAACTTTGGCGCGAATGGCGCGCTTTCGTTACCAAGTCAAGTGTCAGAATTATTAGTGGGGGGACATAAACGCCGACATTTTAGTAAGGCTAGTGTTGCGCCAGTACACCGGCACAGTGTCGGGTTTTCTTCCTAACACTATATTTATATATATTATATATCTGACTGAAACTATATTTCGATATATCAGCGCGTCAGATGTATATGACATGTCAGCGCGTTTGGAAATAGGCGAAGGTTGGCTCAATTATATTTAAATAAAGGCACTAAATTTCTCCCGCCGTTTATTTTACCTTATCTTGTATTATCGAAGTGTTTAAATTACTAACAAATTGACCAATCGGCGACTTTTTGTAGCTTTGTAAGTTTGGTAAAAGCGATGTACGCATACCGAGCGAGTTGAACGACACTCAAGTGGTGTGTGCCGGCCTTTGAGCGCTCTCTATGGAATCCGAAAAAGCGCGGGGAGGTGCTGTCATTGTTGAAATGGACAAGTTCAAAAGCCGAAATTTAGTAAAATAATTTGGATAAGTGAGAGGTTATGAAAAGTGAGGAGAGGCATGAGCGTAGTTGGCGCAGCGCCAGCGCGGGTCGAGTGCGGGGCGAGCGCGCACGGAGCGGTGTCCGCATGCCCCGCCGGAGCCCGCCGCGGCCGCCACGCGACTCGCACGCCGCCGACGACCGATATACTCGGCATCGTTTGCGATCATTTGCACCTCGAAATAGACCTGCGGCGGCGCTAGTGCACGTCTCCGCGCCGGAACATAACCTGCTACATCTATCGCCTTCAACTCAACGCGTGCGCCTGTGATTTTCTTACAATTCTGAGTATGATTTACCAAGTTTTGTAGAAACACTAACGGTTTCAATAAACTTTACTGTGGTCCGAGCGATAATCTGTCTGTCTCATCGTTCGGTCATCAATCTTAAAATAAACGCGGCGGCGAGGCAAATGCGAGGCGGGCGGTGCGGCGGACGCGGCGTGGTGGTGCTCGCAAGCTACAGAAAACAAACGCAACGAGATCGACTACTTGTGCTTTTATAATCTTGTAGTTTTGTGTTGTAAAAATATTTTTATTCTGCACGGTTTCAAGAGATTTTATATTTGAGTGAGTAGCTTTCGTGTTTTTAAATACCTATATGTACACTATATAAGAATGCAATTTGTGCTTTTACACCTAAATCTACCAATTTTGATTAGGTGCTGTAATTGTGATATTAGTTCGATGATGTGCGTCTTCCGTAGCTATTCAACACCTCTCGTCTCTTGTTGCTTACTTTTGTATCGTGTTGCATGACGCGCCGCACACCGCCCCCGCACACCGCCCCCGCCCCCGCCCCCGAAGATTATAATGAGCAAAATTACTATCGTATTTAAGCATTATTAAGGTGGTTGTTTGAGACATTATCGCACTGGTATAATATTCGTAACCGTCAACAACAATGTACCGTAACACGCAATAATATGATGTTATAGACCGGAATATGTTGTCGCAGACATATCTCAAGTGCTCTGTATGCGTTTCAGAGATGGCTGAATGTTTAGAGCGGCAGGAGGCTGCGGGGCCCAGCTCGAGGCCGCCCGGCGCCGCGCCCGACGCTCTCGAGGAGCCCGAGCAACCGGAGCGCACGCCGCGGGACCCGCCTATCCTCTACCGTGACATCGACGTGAGTACTGCTGCACGATGCGCTCGGCGCACGCAATGCACACAGCGCACACAATGCACACAGCGCACACAATGCACACAGCGCACACAATGCACACAGCGCACACAATGCACACAGCGCACACAATGCACACAGCGCATACAATGCACACAGCGCACAACACGTGGACCATCATCGTAAACACGATACGATCACAATAACAAATAAATAAAACTGTGGCAGGCGGCGGCGGAGTTCGCAGGGCTGACGCGGGCGCTGGAGGCGGCGGGGCTGGAGCTGTCGGTGGAGGAGCGGCAGAGCCTGGACGAGCTGCGTCAGTACCTGGTGCTGGGCGAGGGAAGCTGGGTGCTCGGTGACGACTTCCTCGCCTTCATCGGTGAGCGCCGCCACCTCGCCTCTCACCTGTCCACTCCGCCGGATAACTTGTGTTGCAAATAACTTGTACGTGCAGGACGCGTGCTGTCGGAGGGTGGTGAGGGGGCTGCGGGGGGCAAGGCGGGCGGCGCGGCGCGGCGAGCGGTGGTGCGCTGTCTGGCGGCGGCGGCGCTGCGCGACGACGTCTCGCTGCTGCTGCACCAGGACCGGCGCCATCACGCGCTGCTGGCCTACGCCCATCGCGTCGACCTCCTGCCACCGCCGGAGCAGCACGCTCTCGCCCTCTTCGTGAGTGCCCCG